CCTCTGCCAGGGCTCTGCCACCCTCACAGGAAAGAAGTTCCTCCTCATGTTGAGATGGAACTTCTTACATTCAAGTTTGTGCCCATTTCCTCTTGTCCTGTCCCTGGGCACCACTGAAAAAAGCCTGGCCCCATCCTCCTGACACCCACCCTTGAAGTATTTATAGGTGTTGATCAGATCCCCCCTCAGTCTTCTCTTCTCCAGACTAAAAGGCCCCAAGTCCCTCAGCCTCTCCTCATCAGGGAGATGTTCCAGGCCACTGGAGCACTGAACACTGGGGACAAACCGGGGGCTCTAACGTGTCTCCCGACCCAGCGCCAGGAATCGCTTCGCTATTTCAGCCCAGAGCCAAGACTGGAGATATTAAAGTTAAACCCAAGCTCAGGATTTCCAGTTGGAACAAAGAGCTGGGGATTCTAACAGTCCAGAGCGAGGCAATTTCACAGTAATATCTGGAACATGTAGTATTTTTTGGGGGGGGAAGCAAAACCTCCTCACATATTCAATGAAATGAAAATATTTCCAAATAGCGGTGGTTTGTTTTTTCACATCCTCGTCTTCTCCCTCTCTTTTTAAAAATAGCACAGCACCTCAACCAGGATCAGAAGCAACTTCCAAAAAACCGAAACGCTGCTGCTATTCCCATGCAACCTTCCCAAAAATAGAAAGGGAAAAAAAAAAAAAAAATGCAGGAATATCCCTGTTGATACGGGGTGGACACACCGGGACAGGCTGGGGATGACCTGCTGGAAAGCAGCTCTGCAGAGAGGGACCTGGGAGTCCTGGTGGCCAACAGGTTGCCCATGGGTCAGCACTGGGCCCTTGTGGCCAAGAAGGCCAAAAGAAAATATGTAGTGCTACATGGTTTTTAAAAGTGTGTCTGGAAAACAATTTGATTCTGTTCCTACAATAAAGTTTAATGTTTTGGATGCAATCACTGCAAATTACGAAGCCTTGGCAAGCTCCCCCCTTCGAACATATGGAAATTTTGTCTGTCAAACTTTGCTTTTCTTCGCTTACTGCCTCCTAATACATTTTTATAACTGCCTCACCAGCCAGTATGATTTCATTACAGACTGCGATCCAAAGCCACATAAACCTACTTTTTTTTCTTCCAGTGGGGGGGCTCGGGTATTTGGTAGAAACCCCAACGGGGCTGCAACAGGTCGTGGTTGTGATGCTGAGTGAAAACCCAACCTGCCACCCTCCGGCTCCTGATCTTACCTGAGGATGGTGGGACGTTGCTCGAAAAAAAACCCAGAGAAAAGAAAAGTTGAACAGAACCCCCCTCTCCCAACATAAGGGAAGAACATGCTGGTGCCGTGGCACAGCAATAACCAGAAAAAGACCCAAACGAGCTTTCTCAGCCATTTACTCATCTGTGCAAGGACAAATGAAGGGGATGAAGCATTAACCTGCTGCAGATCTTGGTGATGGCTTGAGGATGCCACCAAAGATCATCCTCACATTGAAAGGGGGATGGAAGTTAGAGGAGGGGCTGAAACCCTGAGGATGTGGGGTGAACGCAGCTGGAGCTGCCTGGAATTAAACAAAATACTAAAATGTCAGCCCTGGCTCCTCTTCTCATTGCTAACGGCTTTTTTTTTGGTGGAATTTGCCAGGAAGAACCACAAAAATTTCCCCTCTCAAAAGGCCTTTCAGAAGTCAAAGGGCTGCTGAATAGCGGCATTGTGAGCGGCCCTAAGAGGGACGCGTGGGGATGGTGGCCCCATGGACCGCGCTGGGCTCCTGCCCTGCAGGACACTGCTCGCTGCCAAGGGGGGCTCTAATCCTTGGGGTGGGGTTGGAAAAAAATGAAGAAATAAGCAGCACCCCATCAAAATTTCTCATTTTTTTAGAAACTATCAAAGTATTAGCCCCACGGTGCTCAGAGACCAACAGAGGGCTGGGAGGGGAAGAACCAGGAGAAGAATTTGGGCACCTTTTGCAGGAATATCCCTGTTGATACGGGGTGGACACACCGGGACAGGCTGGGGATGACCTGCTGGAAAGCAGCTCTGCAGAGAGGGACCTGGGAGTCCTGGTGGCCAACAGGTTGCCCATGGGTCAGCACTGGGCCCTTGTGGCCAAGAAGGCCAATGGTCTCCTGGGGGGCATTAAGAAGAACGTGGCCACAGGTGGAGGGGGGTCATCTTCCCCCTCTGCTCTGCCCTGGAGAGGCCCCATCTGGAGCACTGGGACCAGTTCTGGGCCCCCCAGTTCCGGAAGGACAGGAAACTACTGGAGAGAGTCCAGTGGAAGCGATGAACAAAGCCACATAAACCTACTTTTTTTTCTTCCAGTGGGGGGGCTCGGGTATTTGGTAGAAACCCCAACGGGGCTGCAACAGGTCGTGGTTGTGATGCTGAGTGAAAACCCAACCTGCCACCCTCCGGCTCCTGATCTTACCTGAGGATGGTGGGACGTTGCTCGAAAAAAAACCCAGAGAAAAGAAAAGTTGAACAGAACCCCCCTCTCCCAACATAAGGGAAGAACATGCTGGTGCCGTGGCACAGCAATAACCAGAAAAAGACCCAAACGAGCTTTCTCAGCCATTTACTCATCTGTGCAAGGACAAATGAAGGGGATGAAGCATTAACCTGCTGCAGATCTTGGTGATGGCTTGAGGATGCCCCCAAAGATCATCCTCACATTAAAAGGGGGATGGAAGTTAGAGGAGGGGCTGAAACCCCGAGGATGTGGGGTGAACGCAGCTGGAGCTGCCTGGAATTAAACAAAATACTAAAATGTCAGCCCTGGCTCCTCTTCTCATTGCTAACGGCTTTTTTTTTGGTGGAATTTGCCAGGAAGAACCACAAAAATTTCCCCTCTCAAAAGGCCTTTCAGAAGTCAAAGGGCTGCTGAATAGCGGCATTGTGAGCGGCCCTAAGAGGGACGCGTGGGGATGGTGGCCCCATGGACCGCGCTGGGCTCCTGCCCTGCAGGACACTGCTCGCTGCCAAGGGGGGCTCTAATCCTTGGGGTGGGGTTGGAAAAAAATGAAGAAATAAGCAGCACCCCATCAAAATTTCTCATTTTTTTAGAAACTATCAAAGTATTAGCCCCACGGTGCTCAGAGACCAACAGAGGGCTGGGAGGGGAAGAACCAGGAGAAGAATTTGGGCACCTTTTGCAGGAATATCCCTGTTGATACGGGGTGGACACACCGGGACAGGCTGGGGATGACCTGCTGGAAAGCAGCTCTGCAGAGAGGGACCTGGGAGTCCTGGTGGCCAACAGGTTGCCCATGGGTCAGCACTGGGCCCTTGTGGCCAAGAAGGCCAATGGTCTCCTGGGGGGCATTAAGAAGAACGTGGCCACAGGTGGAGGGGGGTCATCTTCCCCCTCTGCTCTGCCCTGGAGAGGCCCCATCTGGAGCACTGGGACCAGTTCTGGGCCCCCCAGTTCCGGAAGGACAGGAAACTACTGGAGAGAGTCCAGTGGAAGCGATGAAGATGATGAAGGACTGGAGCATCTCTCTGCTGAGGAAAGGCTGAGGGACCTGAGGCTGTTCAGCTGGAGAAGAGCAGAGCTAGAGGGGACCTCATCAATGCTGAGCAATAGCTAAAGGGTGGGGGGCAAGAGGATGGGGCCAGACTCTTCTCAGTGGTGCCCGGGGACAGGACAAGAGGAAATGGGCACAAACTGGAACACAGAAAGTTCCATCTCAACATGAGGAGGAACTTCTTTCCTGTGAGGGTGGCAGAGCCCTGGAAGAGGCTGCCCAGGGAGGTGGTGGAGTCTCCTTCTCTGGAGATACTCAAACCCCACCTGGACACGTTCCTGTGGGACCTGCTCTGGGTGACCCTGCTCTGGCAGGGGGTTGGACTGGATGATCTCCAGAGGTCCCTTCCAACCCCATGTGATTCTGTGATAATTCATCTGAAACACAGTTCAAGGCTCCAACATGTTAAATCACAGACTCTTCCAAACAGCACATCTCCAGAACATCGGGGAGGGCTGGGTGTGAGAACCTCTTTAACACCAGCAGTGTCCAGAGATGGGGACACATCTTCATACCATGGCTCCACACAGTGTGTGTAACCCCAAATGCTACACCAACTGCCCTTCTCTGATCACGGAGCAGTAGGGCACCAGCCAGCCAGCACCACCAGACAGAAGGAGCACTTAGTCCAAAACTTCATTTATTTTCTCTCCCCTCCATTTGGCCATGCCAAATAAAGGAGGCTGGTTCACATCTTCACAGAATCACAGAATCACAGAATCGTAGTGGTTGGAAGGGACCTCAGAGATCATTGAGTCCAACCACAAAAAAACCAAACAAAAAACCCCCCAAAAAACCCCAAAAACAAACAAACAAACAAACAGGACAGAAGAAGCACTTAGTCCAAAACTTCATTCATTTTCTCTCCCTTCCATTTGGCCATGCCAAATAAAGGAGGCTGGTTTACATCTTCACAGAATCACAGAATCGTAGTGGTTGGAAGGGACCTCAGAGATCATCGAGTCCAACCACAAAAAAAACCCAAAAAAACAAACAAAAAAAAAAAAAAAGGAAAAAAAAACACCCACCACCTAAACACACAACAACAACCAAACCAAAACCATCACCCACCCACACAACATCTCACCACAAACCAACAATCTTGGGCACTAGAGCATGCCCTGAAGAGCCATGTCTACACGTTTCTTCAATACCTCCAGGGATGGTGACTCCACCACGTCCCTGGGCAGGCTGTACCAGTGCCTGACAACCCTTTCAGTAAAGAAATGGTTCCTAATATCCAACCTGAACTTCCCCTGGCGCAACTTGAAGCCGTTACCCCTTGTCCTATCGTCTGTGACTTGGAACTTGGAACTGCCTCTCTACACCCTCCTTTCAGGTACTTGTACAGAGCGATAAGATCTTCATGGAGAGGCACCGCTTGGTACCTGTAGGTTAAACAGCCCTGCTCCAGCATTTTCAGGAGGCCATGGATGAAGCAGATGTAGTACAAGCTCCCACCCCTGAGAGCCTGGAGGCTCCAGCACGTTCCTACCTCGCAGGTCCTGCTGCGTGCGGGCGCCGGCCATGCTCTGCCGCGGCATCCGGAGGGAGGTGCGCAGGGGAGTGTGTCGCTGCTCATCCAGGTACGCCAGGTCCTCTAAGTGGGCTGAGCTGGTGGCTGTTGGGGAGAGAAGAAACAACTACATCACACCCAGCTTTCCCAGCTCCTTTCTGGTTAATGGGTTAATGCATTTTTTCCTTTTTTAAGCAAAATACAGAGTTGTGACTACATGGAATCCATACAGCTGAAATGAACCGACTCTAGCAGAAGTAGGGAGGTGATTGTGCCCCTGTACTCAGCACTGGGGAGGCCACACCTTGAGTGTTGTGTCCAGTTTTGGGCACCTCAATACAAGAGAGATCTCGAGGTGCTGGAGCGAGTGCAGAGGAGGGCAACGAAGCTGGTGAGGGGGCTGGAAAACAAATCGTATGAGGAGCGGCTGAGGGAGTTGGGGCTGTTTAGTGTGAGGAAGAGGAGGCTGAGGGGAGACCTCATCACTCTCTACAACTACGTGAAAGGACACTGTAGAGAGGTTGGTGCTGGTCTCTTCTCACAGGTAATTAGTGACAGAACGAGAGGGAACGGCTTCAAGCTCCAACAGGGGAGGTTTAGATTGAACATTAGGAAGGAATTTTTCACCCAAAGAGTGGTCGGGCATTGGAACAGGCTGCCCAGGGAGGGGGTGGAGTCCCCATCCCTGGCTGTGTTTAAGGGCCGTTTAGATGCAGTGCTGAGGGACATGGTGTAGGGGAGGACTTTGTAGAGTAGGGGAGATGGTTGGACTCGATGATCCCAAGGGTCTCTTCCAACCTAGATGATTCTATGATTTCCCCTAGCAAAGATTAAAGATGAGTTTTGGTAACTTTTTCTCATGCCCCATGGGTATTTGCTCTGGCTTGGTCTCCTGTTGACGTTCACAAATAAAAAAGACACATAGAAAATGGAGAAATGGAGCCTCTCATCTCTCATCTAAGTCCCCTCCATCACAAAACCCCCTCCATGCTGGGTGTGCAAAGCCTGGCAGGGACAGGCGATGCTTCCTACAACATCAAAGACAACGCAATCGTGCATTTTATGCTGCAGCCCACAATCTCCTCTTCAATTATTTTAGAGTTACTTAGATTGGACATTAACATTTATCTGTTCATAAAGCCAGAATTAGGGGCAGAAAAATTAAACTTTCAACAGACCAGCGAAAACGCACGAATAAATGAGGAAAATGTTATCTGAACTAAGGAAGATAACTTTACTATTCCAATGTTACTTGCTCATGGGAGAATTTATTTTTCTTTACAATTCCAGATTAAATAGACATAGTTTATTGCTCTCTGCTCAAGGTGCCACCATTATATGAATGGTTGGAGGAGAACCTTTCTCTCTGTGCCTGAAGCTGGCAGATAATACAGGGCAAGCTTGTTTTTTTCCAATTTTTCAACTGAAGCAGAGTGACACCTCCCAATGAGTGGGGCAGTCCTGTGGGGCAGAGCCACCAGCAGCGACCCCCGGGGAAATAAGGGAAAATAAGAGCTATCACCAAGAAGCAGGAAGGGTACAACCAGCCTGATGCGACGTTTACAGCGACCATTTCAGGAATCACTTCTTAAACAGTGCTTTTTCCCCAGATGCCTGATGATTACAAATATTTTTAAAATTAGATTTCATGGTGGGTGCTGCAGGGTTCGGTGGGAAATGTCTCCAGACCATATCAGAGGGGAACAACGACCAGAGTTAACACTGGCCACAAAGTTGCATCAATCAGTACAACAAAAAGTAATTTATTTATTTTTTGATGGTGATAAGTGATGATTGAATGATAGAAGAAAACATAGTTTAAAAAAAAAAACCCAACAAATCTGGACCCCTTCCATCTGACTTTACATACTTTGCATGTAGAATCCTTTTTCAGCCAAGTAATTTGCAGAATATTATAAAACAAAGGAACGAAAACTCCACTGCACGAAATAATCTTCCCAATTAAATAGAAAACTTAAAAATAGTCTTTGCAGATCACCAGCTCTGTTCTTGTTCTGATAACCATGTCCAAAATCCACATTAAACATTTATCGATGCAAATCACGCTGCGCAACATTCGGCTGCTCAATACTCTGTATCCAATAGTGCTTTTATTTTTTTTTCTCTTTAGGTTTTGGTCAATCACCACAACAAGATTATTATTTTAAATTGAACTAATTAATTAAATGACTTCTTCAAAGACTGCCTGCGAAGCTGAAACGTCATTCTTTGCTGTGAGATGGATAAGTATTTTGATATTGATTTGATATTTTGATAAAGCTCTGTAGAGTAGCCCATGGTGCTAAGACTGTCCACCCTCCCTTCTTGAAGCTCTGCGGAGTAGCCCGTGGTGCTAAGACTGTCCACCCTCCCTTCTTGCCACCCAGTACAAGATGCAACAACTTAACAAAATTGAAAAGCAGAAAATTCCCAAACTAAGAGAAACACTTTTTCCCATAGAATGCCTAATGACCATGTAAAAGTCTTTACACGACTGTGCTGCAGCCAAAAACTAAGCAAGATCCAGAGACTGTACCAAGGGGTGGGGAGAAAGGGCTTAAATTTGGCAGCAATTTTAATTCTTCCAATTGCCTGAACTCTCTTACAAATGTTAAGAAAAATAAATAAATAAAAGAGAGACAGACAGAGAGAGCGGACAAAAGGTAAACAACCAGAGTGAGGAAAAAAAAAAGGAGAGAAACCCATCAAAGTCTGTTTTTAGAAGTCCTTCATGCTCTTTTGCTCCTGTAAAGTTGATTAGATGTTCAGTGTGAAGGCAGATTAGAGCTGAAATGCTGCAATTAGAAAGCTGGGGCTGCAGCCTGGATGCAAGTTATTGCCTTGAAGCCCTCAATCACTGCAGCCCACTCCCAGCATCGCCCGGGTCCAGCTGCAGGTCTCACTCCCACTTCGGTGGCACAGGCCAGTCAAATGTGCCTTTTGCATAAAAATGTGTGCAATTTAAGGCCACTTAAAGTGTAACTGAGCCAGAGGATCTGCAGTGGAAGAGCAGATGTTGCTGCAGCAACCAGAGGCAGACCCAAAGTGTCCCGGCGGTATCTAGTCCAGGGAGACAAAGCCCAAGCTTCTCCAGAGCCTGGTACCACCTCAGGCAGGTCCATCCTTCCCACCTCAGCCTTCAGCCCACCAGGCACACACACCTTAACAGAATTCTGGAATGGCTAGACTTGGTTGGAAGGGACCTTAAAGCCCATCCAGTGCCACCCCCTGCCCTGGGCAGGGACACCTCCCACCACACCAGGTTGCTCCAAGCCCCCTCCAACCTGCCCTTGAACCCCTCCAGGGATGGGGCAGCCACAGCTTCTCTGGCCAACCTGGGCCAGGCTCTCACCACCCTCACACCAAACAAGTTCCTCCTAATATTTCACCTAAATCTCCCCTCTTTCAGTGTCAAACCCTTCCCCTTTGTCCTAGGGCTCCCCTCCCTGATCCAGAGTCCCTCCCCATCTCTCCTGGAGCCCCTTGAGGGACTGGAAGGGGCTCCAAGGTCTCCCTGAAGCCTTCTCTTCTCCAGGCTGAACCCCCCAACTCTCTCAGCCCCCCCTCCCAGCAGAGGGGCTCCAGCCCTCCCAGCATCTCCATGGCCCTCCTTCTCTAATAGATAATCAGTTCCTGTTAAACAAAAATCCCTTCTCACTGCAGCTGCTCATCAGGCAACAAGACAAAAAGCAACCAGCCAGGACGGGCTACCAGTGGCCAGTCAGATACGCTGAAAATCCACAGCAGAAACAGCCCTAATTGATCCCAGGAGAGTTTAGGAAGGGAATATACAGGCAAAGGAGAGCCCTTTTTAAAAAAAAATAATAATAATCGAAGTCTGAATGATTTTCTTTTATATTTGTAAATGACACTGCAGTAAAGCTTCTGCAGCCCATTAAATCAGGATAAGGATTATCGTCCTTTCCAGGCGTATTTTCTCCCCTCAAAGGGGAGTTATTACCGTGTTCCACACCCAGCTCAGCACTTTTCCTGCACCAAGGCTTCGTCACACACAACAAACAAACTCACTGCCTGAAAGAACTCCTGTTTCCTTGGGAAGGGTGAAGACACCACACTTTTCCCCTACTGAGTTCTGTAAAATATCCTCATGACTTCAGTTCAAGTTACCCTCTTGAAGCTGCTCCTGCAGGGAAGAAAACACTCCCCATATTGGACTTGCTGCTAAATATACATATATAAATTTATATATATGAGAGTGTGTGTCTGTGTCTATATATATATATGTATCTATATATATCTATCAGCTTCTGAAGGACATCTCCTCCCTCTAAATTCCATATCCAGTCCTGCTCCAGTCCCATTTTAATTCTATCAAGCGCAATCAGAGCCATCAAGGATGCCCAGAAACATCCATCTTGCTGGTAATTTCATTTCTTTATACAAGATCAAAATGATAAAAAGCTCCTTTTTCCAATTTATACAACAACAGTTAAAACCAAAAATTATTTCCCCATTACACCAACGAAAAAAAACAAAATAACATTTTTTAATTTGAAAATTCACACTAGGCCTTGAATGGAGACAATATGATTATTAGTAATTTCTATTTTTTTTTCACTTCACTCCCCAGGAAAACACCCTCCCACAAGCCAATCCTGCGCACGCGGGGAAAACACTGTGTCCCACCAAGCACGACCCGCAGTACTTTGGGGCAAAACAGAGCCTCCTGTCAACTGCAGAGGATTTTAAATGCCCAACTGTTATTCTTAAGAGGCAGAGATCACACCCCGACACAACCTCTACTGCCCAAACCACACCTGGCTCTCAAAACGTACCTGATGTTTTAATTGATAGTTTCAGAAGCATCAACTCATGGCAGCTCCCCAGCAGCTTCTGACAACGGCGTTAATTCTATCATTTAAAACTTTGTGGATAAAAAAACTGGACGAAGAGACTCACTGGGAGAGTGTGCACGGGTTTGGAAGCCCAGATTTTCAAACTCTCTCAGCTGCTCTGATCAAGAACGGCATCTCCTTGCTCAATGCATCACCTGCTTTAGACAGGTGATGGGACAAGAGGAAATGGCCTCAAGCTGCCCCAGAGAAGGTTCAGGTTGGAGATTAGGAAAAATTTTGACACTGAAA